TGCAACAAGAAACGGGGGCGGTTACCCACTGACAACTTTGTTACACAGATTATTCCAGTCACTCTGCAGACATGACGGGATTTTAACCTGTAATATATTCGGTTTCATCATGTCTCTAACTGTATACTTACCACGATTTTACATTACATATAATCTTCTGATTAATTTCGTTGCGGGTCCGATCTTCTTCTAGTCGTGTCGACCTCAAACCTACACAGTGTCAGCCCAAAACTCCACAAGAGTGGCGTTGTCAGTAGCCTTCATTAAATCTTCCTGCGTACAATTGTTTGGGCATGCAGGGCACGAAATCATGTGCTTCGTTGACTGGGGTAAAAAACCACACTTGCACTCCAAGTTTGAGCCATCCAAGAATCCCTTCAGAACACATTGTCCTTACTACGGCCGACCTGCGGGTCCGATGACAGTTGAAGACTTTTCCCCGGGACAAACTTGACCTTAACTGGTTAGGTTTTTATTGGCGGTTAAGCTGTATATCCTGGCTACACAGCGGTAAAACATCTATGACGATTGTAGCTCTTAAAATTAACCACTAAGGGCTTTGTACTCTCTGATGGTAAGGCGTTCGATACATGATACTAAGTACTAAATTGCCTATGTATTATTGAAGTTGTATAATTTTCTTCCTTTAATTAATTTAGTCGCAAGTTTGCAACGCAACGTTTATGGGTTAACCTGTAAGTTCCAAGGTGCTATTATTGTTTACTTCCAATTGTTCGACAAGGCTAAGGCTTATTATACTAAATGTGCTTTAAACTTTATTTAACATTTTCAAAATGTACGAGTATTTTGCTGAATAAAATGCAAATAAAATCATGAAATTATATTTATTAACTGTTTCTACACAGTTATTTTGTATCGAATTCTTTAAAAAACTGGGACAAATTAACAAAATGGAATAGGTAACTAGGTACAAACTGCAACGGCATGAGAATAATCTAAAATACACGCAGTTTTTAATGACCTTATACCGTCATCACCTGAAAATTGTTCGATGATTCAATAATTCCACATAATCTATGACATTTAAAATGCTATCAAGTTTTGCAATTTACATTTTAAATGAGAGATTTTTCAGATAAGTTCTGAATCTTTTTTCAATTATTCTAAATTACCCAAACATCTGCAACTCTAACTTAATTATTGCTTACTGAGAAATTCATATCAATAAATAATCAATACTCTATATTTTATTGCATCCATTATGTACCTACTTAAAATTAGAACATTATGGGCCCACTATATCATTTCATAAACTATAAGGTGTTGGTCTACCAATTTCACTCAGACTAGTTACAAATTACATTGTAATAGTTCTGAACCAAAACTAAATTATTAAATCAAATTTTCAAGGTTATTAGATCACGGTTAATAATTTCAACAGTTTGTTATCTTTGAAGATATTAAACTAGCGAGTGTGTTTGAATAATTTTGAGTTAATATTAACCGAATGTTATTACAAGCTTCGGAACTTCAACGGTTATTGGAAATCACTCTGATTTATTGGATCCTACGTTTTGCTGAAGTAAAAATGTGCTCAGTAGTCTCAAGAGCAGCTTAAAAGACAAATAAATAAGCTTTTTAAAATGCTTTGAATATAAATTTCCTTATTAAATGCTTACAGGGAAACTGTGATATAAATGTTCATATTTTCAGAATTCATCATTATCATCATTTCAGCCATAGGACGTCCACTGCTGAACATAGGCCTCCCCCAATGACTTCCACATCGCACGGTTGGTAGCGGCCTGCATACAGCGCCTTCCTGCTACCTTTATCTACCTTTATTTTCAGAATTGATTGTTTGTTATTATTATTATTTATTCACTTAGGCTTCTTTTGGTTTCACTGCGCGGCGCCTCACACAATCGTGACTGCCGATATTAATTACACTGTAAAAACCTGATTTTCCTAAATAAATAAATAATAAATAATGGAGTGGTCACCGCCTTTAATGACAGTTAACTACTAAAGGCTTAGAAGACGTAATGGGCGTAGATTTTTTAAGATTATTAAGACTCAGGTTCGGCCAAACCACAACGCGTGCAGATCCTACTGATCGCCATCGCGCACGCAGGCTTCACGCGTTGGTTTGGCCGAACCCTAAACCATATCCACCGTTAAAGCCTTTTGTCCCACATGTCTAGAAATACACTCGACATCAAATAAATCGCACCTCCCGCGACAAGCACTTTCAAACGTATGCAACCCCGCTTCCTACCAATATTGGCACCATTTCAAAACCTAGTTCTAACCTTCATTTCATTAAAGAACAGGTTTTTACCCCATAAATGTGTCTTTAGAAGGATCCAGAGTCACTTCTTCAAAAAATAGGTAGTTACGTTTGAGCCAACTTTTATAGCTATAAAACTGTTAAGTTGGGATTAATCGCTATCCATCGTTAAAGAGGACACGTGAGATCATTATTTGGTTTTATATCCATAACAATTGGTCTAATTGATCCCAGAGGTGGGCGCAAAGAGAGGTATTTTTTCAAGTCACAATAACACCAATATTGTTGGGGTACCATGATTGTCTCAGAAGAAAATCTTTAAAGTTCGCGTCGCGGAAGGTGCGATTTATTTGATGTTGAGTATAGTTTTGCTGTCATGCTTTTATGACAGGGGTGTGTTCGTTAGCTCAGAAATATTCTAGGAACTAGAATCCCTTCGGAGATCCTACCGCATCACTCCATCATTATTAAGCGTAACCATTTTGTAAGCATGAGGGATACACGTACGAATTTTGATTCACCCATTTTTATTGAGAATATTTCGACTCATTTCATGAGTAATTTCTCCTCGAGTGATTTGATTTGATAAAAATGTCCTGTCTGAGCTACAGTTGTGAAGGTTAGGCTTGTATCTAAGAGTATATCAAAATGAGTTGAAATACTTACCAGAATCGAGTCTAGGCGCTTTGATTTGTCGAAGGTTTTAGATTCTGTACTATAATAATATTTGATTTGCCTGTTGCAGTCTTTCCCTAACATCCAGGCCTCTTGAAGGCGTAAGTAAATAGGCACTAAAGGTCTGGTATACGCCACCCTAGACTGCATTCACTTAACATCAGGTGCGTGCTGTTACTAATTGCAAGCTATCAACACAAAAAGTAGGTACCACGGAAGAAAACTTTGGATGATGGCACAAAACTCAGCCCTATTAATCAAGATCGGAAAACCAGGTGAACCAAATTAAGAAGAGTCAATAGTCGGTGAACATTTGATTAAAACTTCAGCGCTCCTAACTAATAAACTTTGAAACGTGTAATTAGAAACTTGTCTCTTCCGCGACGTGCACCAACTCAACTTTACCGTTGGCGAAATATTTTTAAGTTAATTGTGAACTTTATTCTATTGCAATAAAAGCTAGCTGGAGTTATGATAATGGAGGTAAAGTGGATGAAAGCGTGTTTTTGAAAATTTGTACAAGGAATAAGTTTGACATAATTGTTACGTCCATGGAGTTGGAAGTGGAGCAAAGGTTAACTGTTGTAAGAACAGGTTTATTGATGTTAAGAGAAAATAGGAACAATTTTCCATGAAAATATTATACAAAAGTGACGCCTCTATGGAGGAAGGTACACTGGTGACTATGATAGGAACGCTTACAAGTGAACACTTAGGGCCTTGCCACACTGGCGGATTGCAAGCGATTTCAAAGCGAAAGACGAGGCGCAAACTCTAGGCGGAAACGTTGCGCAGCGTATTCGCTGCGTCGCCGCTCCGCTTTGAAAACGCTTGCAATTTGCCAGTGTGGCAGCTCAAGGCCTGGTTGATACAAGTGCGATAGCCGCGTGGTTTCTGTGTGACTCTCATTGGCGATGCACTGAGGCAATAACCCTGCGGTTAAAGTTTGATGTAAAATTTGCAAGAACTGCCCAGCTATCGCGCGATTATCGCTGTCTGAACCAGGCTTTATAAGATAGGAAGGCGATTTCTGTCACCCCCAATAGTTATAGTAACCAACCAAATGTTGAACGAAAAACTACTTACTTTCAATTCCTTATCTTTTTAATTTCACATACGGCGCTGATTTTCAGGTCTATTCTTAGATTTCGCTTATGCCAGTATTTCATACGCGAGGGGGAATTTATGGGAAATTCAGCTTAAACCCGCAGGATTGCCGTAGAAATTAACCCGAAATTAATAATCTCGCATGATCCGTCGCTTAAACTAATCCTTCGTTATGTAACCCCCGGGAGCGAAAGATGTTATAATTAGGTGCGTTAGTATCCGCCTTGTAGCACTTGCGGGGTTCTATTCCAAGTACTTATGTCTATAATCATGAAGAACATAGCTCACTTAAGATGAGCTAATTATACCAGATTTTAAGAAAAGTGTAAACCGCAGAGGTATTCTAAAAAAACCGGCCAAGTGCGAGTCGGACTCGCTCACCGAGGGTTCCGTACAAACCTGCAAGGTTTACAAAGTTCGTTCATTACGACAATCGAGTCATAACTATGGTATTTTTATTGCAAAATGAAATTCATAAGTTTATATTTATTAAAAAATATATATTTTGTAATGTAACTAAAAATTTAAGGTTTTCGGAATTTTTCCTTCATGTGTACTTAGGGATGCAAACGATACATCGATGTTTTAAAACATCGAGGTATCGTTCATAAACATCGATGTTAAACATCGATGTTGAACTACAAGAAAACATCGATACATCGTGTATTAACATCGATGTTTTATGAACGATGTTTAACTGCAGCGCCATCTTGTTGTATTGTACGTAACTATCATTTGTGTCACGTGAGCATGTCGGCTCGCGCGCGCCACTGCAGTTCACTGCACCTGGCGCCATTAGGGTTCCCAACCCTCCCGGATTGCCCGGGAGACTCCGGAAATAATGGTTAACCTCCCGACCTCCCGGAGAGAAATATTTTCTCCGGTATTTCTAAAAATTAAATGCATCCATTGCTGCTCGTACTTGTGTATAAATNTCATTTGTGTCACGTGAGCATGTCGGCTCGCGCGCGCCACTGCAGTTCACTGCACTGGCGCCATTCTTTTCTCTCGCGAGTCGCGTCGCGTCTTGCTATTGCTAGGTACCGCCAGATTAAAACGAAATTAGATTCGAAGCCGTCAAGTGAAGTTAAGTGTTCGTGATTTTATGTTAATTACGTAGTTTATGTAATTAAGTGTAATTTTAAGTAAGCATACTGAAGCAGGATATGTAAGTATATTGTTAATTTACTTAAGAGAGTCTTCTTGGTTGTTAAATAAGTTTTACAGCTGTCATGTTTTGGTGTTTTGAACTAGAAAAGACATTTTAAAAAAGCTGATATGTATATTTAATGTACCGTTTACACTTATTTACCAAAAAATATTGTATAGTATTGCCAATATAATAGAAATTACGGATGAGATAAACAAAACATAACCTTAAAAATAAAGTGTTGAACAGATTTTATTTTCGTATATTTTATTTTAGATTGATACATACATAGAGCCGTAATTAATTTTATGAATTACATTATTTCAATTGTTATTTATATGCGCAAGTTAAGTTTAAAAAATATTTAGTTTACACTGTAATAGTGATGGGCAACGATTAAAATATTTTGTTATCGATATAATTTTGGTGATTTGAACGTCCGGCATATTACGTTATAGTTAGATTTTAACACAATACGTTCTTTTTTTTCAGATAAAATGCCGACAAATAAGAAGAAAAGTTTAATTTGGAATTATTTCCAAAGAGGTGTCAATAATAAGGAAGCGACATGCAAATTTTGCAATAAAACTTTGAAGACTTCAGGTAATACTACTAATCTGCGGGGTCACATGGAAAAAAAACACGCTGATGTTGTTCAGGATTGTATAACAGAAGAACCTTCACAAAAAAAACTGAAATTAAATGATGTAACTGATACTACTGCTCAAAGTAGCGAACCTGCTATTAGTCATCCTGAAAGTACTGATGCTGTTACGCCTCTAATGTCGGTAATAAATGTTGATTCCATGGACATTGTTAATAAAGGAGCTAGTACTTCTAGTGGTTTTGAAAAACCTCAACAACAGCCCAATGTGGGTGTGGGTCAATTGTTTACCAATATAAAAAGTATAACAAGTACTGAAGGTACCAAAAATAAGAAGATCACTGAGGCAATTTTAAATTTTATAATTTTAGATCATAAAGCGTTTTCAGTTGTGGAAGGGAAAGGATTCCTACAACTTCTGAAGGAAGTTGTGCCCTTATATAAAGTTCCTTCTAGAGAAACATTCAAAAAACGGGTCGATGATAAGTATGAAGTCATGTCAGGTATTTTCAAAAATTATATAAAATCAGCACAATATTATTGCCTTACATACGATATATGGACAGAGACGATGCAAAATAAGTCTTTTGTTGGTGTCACCATTCATTTTTTAGAAGAAACGAAACTTACAAGTGGTACTTTGGGAGTTTTCGAGTTATTCGAAAGACATACAGCAGAGTATGTACAACGAAGGCTTACAGAGATCCTTACCGAATGGTGTATTTCAATTGATAAAGTTACTGCCATTGTTACTGATAACGACAGTACGGTTATGAAGGTAAATAGAGACATGTTCGGAGAAAAAAAAATAATACCGTGCTTTGCTCATACTGTGAATCTAACTATAGATAATCCATTGACGAGATCTGAAACTGCATCTCAGATTATAGGTAAAGTTCGCGAAATTGTAAAGTTTATAAAACGCAGTGTCAATGCCAGCGATGAGTTGCGTAAAAAACAAAGAGAAGCCGGTTGTAAAGAAGGTCAAACAAAGAAGCTTATTCTAGATGTACGTACTAGGTGGAATTCCACCTTTTATATGTTAGAACGTTTCTTGGAGTTAGTTTCAACGATTGGTGCAATATTATTATGCCGTTCCGATGCTCCACCAATGCTGACATCTAGTGAAATTGGCTGTTTACGTGAAATCGTGCAATTGATAAAACCATTTGAAAAACTGACCAAGGAGATTTCTGGACAGAATTATATCACAGTCAGTAAAGTTATTCCACTTATTAGTTGTTTGCGAGGTATGTTAGAAAACTTTTCTCCGAAATTTGAAGCTGCAATTTCTTTAAAGACTGAAATTGAGAAGGAAGTAATGAAGCGATTTGATAATAAGTTAGAACACAACTCATCTTTGGCTTTAGCAACCGCTCTGGATCCGCGCTTTAAACTCATTCATTTTAAAGATGCAATGGCCAAAGCTAAAGTCGTGAATTATGTGAACAACTATGTGAAAAATATGCAATCTATGATTTCACCAGCTGAGTCTTCTGACGAATCAGAAAGAGAAGAAAAGGCAGATCGTGAATCAGATATATGGAGTTACCATAAACAATTAACACACGATAACTTGAAAAATAAGATAACAAGAAAAGCAGAATCAGAATTTCATATGTTTATATCTTCACCCGTTAACTCAATAAAAGAAGATCCAATAGAAATCTGGGAAGATATGAAAACTGTATTTCCATATTTATATAAACTAGCTATGAAACATTTGCCGATAGTCGCAACTTCTGTCCCCAGTGAGAGGTTATTTTCTGAAGCTGGAGCTGTAATTACCCAAGAAAGAAACCGGTTACTCGGCAGTAGATTATCAAAATTATTATTTTTGAATTCTGTAATGAGAAAAAATAATAAATAACTTCTGTTTAATTCATAATACATGTGATTACATATCTTTGTCTTAATAAATGTGATTATCTTTGTCTTTCTGATAATTATTTGTTTAATTTGTCGTTCTACTACTTTTCATATCTTAAAACGTTATAGATGTATCATTTAAAGTAACTAATTGTTTAACATTGTCAGTGATCATGATTAACAAAATGAATCTAAGTAGGTTATCAATATTTTTTTAAGAAATAGCCTTTTCTCTGTATTTCAATGCTGTATTTGCTGACTCTGCTAATAATTAACGAAAACATCGAAAAAACATCGATGTATCGTCCTAAAATATCGATATTTCGACATCGATGTTTCACTTTAAAAAAATATCGATGTTTCAGTATCGATGTTTTTTATGAACGATGTTGCATCCCTATGTGTACTATAAAACGTTGCTTCATGCCAAATTTCAAGATTCTAGGTCGACTGGAAGTACCCTTTAGGTTTTGATTCCCTTGCGAGTACTTGCGAGTTTCAAAATATGCAGCTTAAATTGCTGTTTCTTTTGATTGCGTTGACATAGAAGTTTGATTTTGTTACAACTTAAAGGTATTATAGACCTGAGTATTTGGTGTGAATGTCAATTTAATACCTTTACGCGTTTATGAGGAAATGGTACCTATGGTAAAGATCAAAATTATTTAATTAAAATTCAATGAAAACAAGTTTGTTTCGTGGAATATAAAGAACGCATAGCCTATAATATAACGTCCCTATAAAAATGTAAGAGGAAATGAAGTGAAAATTCAATCACCTCCCAAAAACAGAATAAAAATTTAACGCAAAAATTAACGCTACATAACCCGGAAAATGTTCCGTCGTTTAATGTAAAGGTTATCGTTTACGTAACCAGCCCTAGGGATGTTTAATTAGGTGTTCACCACAAGCGCGGGACTGACGGTGCAACGACCCCTACGCGCAGATAATACCCGAAGGATTTCCTTAACTATCCGTGTGTGTATTATGATTCTTCGAAATACGAAAATGGAGCGATACCTACTGTTATGAACATCACTCGGTCACTAAATTTAGGTACAGTCAACCGCACACCATCTATACGACATTATCGTTGCAAAATGACACCTATTTATAACAGATTTATCTTATGATCCCATTGTTTTCGTTCATGTAACCAGCCCTAGGGATGTTTAATTATGTGTTCACCACAAGCGCGGGACTGTCGGTGCATGTAAACCCTAGGCGCAGATAATAATACCCGAAGGATTTCCTTAACTATGCCAGATATAACATTTCGTGTTCATTTTGATTCTTCGAAATACGATAACTAAGAGCTTCTGGAAGGAAGATCACTCCGTTACAAGCCACTGTTATCGTTCACTTAATCAGCCCAAGGGATGTGTAAGTAGAAGCGCGAGGGACTGAGTTGGTGCATGTAAGCCCCTAGGCTGATAATTACTAACTGTACCGAATATAATATTTCGAGATACGGAAACGAAAAGATACCTACTGGCATTAGGTAATTCGCTCCGAGAAGCGTTTTCGAAATTAAAACTGTCATAAATGTTTCTCTGTCTAGGCAAAGAGCGTAAGAATACGGTCACACAACATGACAGGGAATGTGATCACTACGTTAAGCGAAAAAGAAAATTAGAATCTCTTATCTACTGTTGAATGCTCTCAGAATGCTGAAGCTGAAAGACTTGATTGTGCCTTACTACCGTAGGTCCAAATATTTCTTTTCCTGCTACTTTCCTGTTCGCACCTGTTTCACAATCTAGAGGTGTAAAAACTACTAACGCAGAATTCTTTATATAACTGCCATGAAATAGTGCGGTTGCGATGAAATACGCGGGTCTTCAAGCCCATCCCTGGGGCGCCCTTAACGTGAAAAGCTGGCTTTTTTCAGCGAATATTTGAGAATCACTTCCCAGTAGTACCATTATTTAGATGCAAGAACTGTTGCATGCATTATTTACGTTTACTTTTGGGATTATATCACTGTCAGGTGACAGGGTAACTATAAAGGGTTAACATTTCGACAATATGGTTTTCGACCTTATGCTAAGTGAATAAGATTGTATTTATGGTAGCTTTAGGGAAAAGAGGCACTTAAACTTGAGCATAAAGATGTGTGCCTTCATTTATTATTCAATCTTTATTTAATTTTCTCCTATTGTGATTTCACTAAATAGGTAAGTAACTAAAAAGGTATGTTCATAAAATAGTACAAAGGAGATTGAACGTGTTAAGAAACAGGTTATAAAGTAAAAACCATTTATTTAATCATTAATTTATTTCTTGTCATCACTACTTATTAATATCATACATAATTTTTCAAACGCGAAAATATTAAGTTTAATTTCTACACATAGGATCTAATTTCCACATAAACGATACTAATACATACAATAAATACATTGAGATATCTTTAATTATAGCTATAAATATTTTTATTACATTTACGTACAATTTTCTTAAGACTAGTTAGGAAATTATGACGATAATTAATATTTTTTTCCAATAATTAAGGCCTAACTCAAGTAAGTATTGAAATAAAACAAATTCTTACTAACGATATAATAAGTTGTGGTCATAAGTCACAACAAAGATAAGTATTACATAGTAAGTATAAACTAAAACCTTTTTAGTTAAATGTAATAGTTATAGATTATAATAATTACAAATGAAAAAAGAAGCGAGATTTTTATTATGTTTTATTTTTTGTTGGACACAGAACAGGATATCACAGCTATTAAATTTATTATTTACAAAGAATAAAGTCTTAAAGTATTTGTTAGGGTTTTTTTTTAAATAAAGGGCAATGTTAATTGTAATATTTTGGTGTAAAGCTAAATCTAAATCTAGTGGCAAACTTTTTATCTATTTTTAGTTATTTACAGCTCGTTTGTCTGATAAGTTTAGCAAAGTAGCCTTGATATTGCCTTCCAAAATTAATCATACTAAGGTACTGTGATTCCTACAAAAATGCATTATTTACTTTTATTGTTAGAACTCTACAAACTCTACATTACGATCAACTTTATGTGAATCAGTAACACTGAATAAAAAGTAAATTAAAAAACCTTAAAAGCAATGTTGTTATTTTTGCGTACAATAAATTCTAAATATTGTATGAAAAATGCAACATTTCAGGAAATAGTTTGGAAAATCTTCGAAGTACTAAATGCAATCAAAGACGCGAAAATCGAATAATACTTGTTTTCAACAAATCAGCAGTTTACCGATTCACACGAGTCGATGAATAAAATAATTAAAAATGGCGGTTAGCGTTTTACATGCTGATTTTGAGTTTCAATCGATTGCTTTTGATTATTGCGCGTACGCATCGAGCATCACCTACGCGTATTTTCTTTTGTTTTTCTTCACCCATAAAATAGGGTAGAGCGGGCACCCAGTAAAAACTGTCAACTTTTTATGAGCTGTCAACTGTCTCGTATTTTTAAACGCAATAGGGAGTAAGACGTCATCTACGAACTCTTTTGTGATTTTAAAACTTTTATACCCCGTTTAAAACCGAGTGTTTTTAAAGAAGATGTGTATTGTAATCATAATCATCGAGATGTCAGCTGACGAATTGTAAGCCGAAACAATATTTTATTTTTCATGCCTTCTGTTGTTTTTTTTCCTATTCTAATAGAACAGAGAGAAAAACAAAAGAACACTATTTGAAACAAAAGAAATTGACGCACGGTTCATTTGTTTTTCGCTAAAAGTACGCTCTATTTGTTGATGTACGCGTGAGCATGATTTTGGTTCATCATGATTTTGGGTAGCGCGTCACTTCGATGCAAAATAAAACAAAAGAACTCTACAAACAGCTTCCACGTGGAGAAAAACAAAAGAACGCTTCGAGGGTGACGCGCTGTTCTTCTACTCATCAAAAGCTATCGTTTGAAAGTGTACTCTATATCCTTTGTTGTACGCTCAGTTTCGCGTGAGCATCGGGTTGATCATGATGTTGGCGAGCGCGTTGCGCCGCTTGCGCCATGCGCCTGCGCCTTGCGCGTGGTACTGGAGCTGGCGGTACCAGGTGCGCGTGCGCGCGTTCTCTTCGGCCTGGAAACAAACGAGATGATTAGAGATCTTTATTACAGTATGAATAAAACCTATTTTTCTATCTAGAATCTTCTGCTCATCTAAATATTTTCAGATCTTAGAGATTTTCTGCGTGAGTCCTATAAATGAACGTCAAACTCAAAACACTGCTAAGATCTCTTTCCCGCAGAGACATCCCGAACTACAATTGCACTTTAATACAATAAGCTAATAATAAGTGAATAATTATTTAGACTTAATTTCAATAAATTGTGATTTTTTCAACAAAGCATGATAATTGGAAAATGGATAGAATTTACGTTAACCAAATCACCTTTGGCGCAAACCAAACCAAATACTTGAATTATTACAGTCAGCTGTTGATAATTACTCTTCTACATGATTAAATTGATTCCATACGGATCAACTGTTAACTAAATTAGCATAATAGCGATAATTATCTCCGCATACCAAATTGTTATTACTGCATTAACAACCGAACTTGAATCTAATTGGTTTGTTTTAGAACTGAAATTCAAACAGCTGGTCTCGAATATATTTTTTTGAAGTTTATTGGCTACTTGTATTTATGGAGAGAGCAACAGAAAATAACCCTATGTAATGTTAGTCTTCCAATAAAAATCTTATTAAACCACCAAATGTACAGGACTGAGTTTCTTCCTTCACTTTATTTCAGTACAAGCCAATCATGTTGTCCTGATATTTTATGGTGGTAGAGTGTTATCATAATTATTTGGAACGTAAATATGAGCTCTGAGTCGCTATCGTATTCATTTAGATAGGTTTTTTACCTAACAATTTGAGATGAACTCATGGTAGTATTTTTAGTTTTGCTGTGGTTCTGCTACTAACCGCTGGAGGCACTGTACAATTTGCCATACATTTTTTTACGCACTCGATAGCGAAATGCTCGGTAGGTAAACTCATGGTAGAGACACTGAACGGACTAGCATACTAAAAAGAATTTAATATAATTTGTTTACTTCTACATTTAAAGTTATTAATATCGATTCGATAAAGACTACTAAACTTAAAACAGAAAACGAACTAGTGAAAATGTCACACAGAAATTCGAAATAGCATCGTAATGATGCAGAAAGATAACAAGGCGATGGATTTGCAACTCCAAATTATCTCTTTGACACGTTTAATTCTTCCTCCATTGTTAAGCTCTTAATTTTTTAGCCCCTTGCTTTGACGCACTTCGCAGTGTTTTGTTTTTATGACGTTAACGCAAAAACTGCAGGCTTTAAGAATCATGATAAGACGAGCCCAGTCCCTTTTCTGTGTAAAACAATTAATTTCTATTTAGATTCCCTTTTCAGGTTCCTTTACTCAAAGGAAAAGCCCTCAAGAGGATAGCAAAACAGGCAAAAAATACAGCAGTAAAGACTCTATTTATTCTGTAGGAATAATGCGTCCAGTGACTAGTTATATTACCAGGTAAGCTATACATAGTTACTTTAACATTTCAATAATTTATTTTCAGCAATACAAACTGTAAGTCAACTGAAGGAACTGCTTATTATGCCAATGCACCGAGCGATAAACGAGATTCATCATGTCGCCAGTATCATTCGAAACGCACTGAAATACCAATAATGAAGTTACTATTACTTAAATTCCCTTTTTTGCCTAAATTTGTGGTTAGCTCGAAGAAAATGCCACTTGGCATTAAGCTCGCCTGTTGTACCACTATTTGTTATGTGTGCAATAAAGATTTAAAATAAATAATATTTGACTACACCAAAACAGAAAAGATTAATGTCTTTGGGATTAAGTAAAGGTCCGCCGCTCTATGATAAGTTCTAGTGTATCATCCTCTCACGAACCAAACATGCTTTAGAAGGAAACTCAGCTTTTTCTTTTAATGTATCATTCGTATGAACATCATACTTCATAAAATGCTTTAATTATTCATATATTTTAATATCCACCTTTAGAATAAGATAAAAACTCACCTTGAAAATATAAGAATCCTTCGTGGTTATCTCGTGGACCTCGAAGAAGTGTTCCGGCTCGTGATCAGCTGCGACCACACACCGGTCCAAGAAGAGAGGCTCTCTCTGCAGCGTGTATCTCCCGGCTTTCTCTCTTACGAGCAGGAGAGCGGCCTCTCTCACTCCGCTCCGAGCGAAGAGTGCTTCGCCCTCTCTCTCGCGCGCCTCGCGGTCCCTTTGCTCTCTCGTTTCGCGAATCTCGTTCGTTTTGTGGGTGGTCGTTGGCTGGAATATGTTTTCAGTTAGTAATAAAATAATAGATACAAAATAATAGAAGATACACAATTTCCAGTACAAAATTAGCATCTGTAACTTTTTTAGCTTCGATGTATCATCGAAATAGCTTTCTTATGCCCGTTTTCACCATCAATCCCTAATGTTTAAGTGACCCCTATGAAAACAAAATTCCTGTTATGTGTTGCCATAGGGGTTAAAAATTAGGAATTAATGGTGAAAATGGGCATTAGATTGTCCAGTTAGGCAACTTGTAGTAAAGAGTAGAATTAAGCAAGTTTCAGACATTTGTACACCCATAAAATATCTTTATCTCAGCTAGTCCTATTAAGAAACATCTATTATTTGCTGTTGCGACAGAAAATAGATTTTCCATACCTATAAATAAATAGTTTTTAGTTGCTTAAAACTAGTTTTAGTTTATTACCTTCCCGTTAGTCACCAAGAGCGCGTTGATCGGCGTCAGCTTGATCGTGCGGCCCTTCCGCCAGTTGTTGTCATTCGGCTGGGTGAACAGCAGCTTGCCTTCCATTGCGAACCTTAACAACATGGAAATAGAAAACAAAATGAATTGATGATAAAATTGGCTAGGGCAAAGAGCAGCTTGCTAACTTCTAAATAAAATTGGGCACCACAAGGTGAGTGGTTCCTAAATAAATGTTCCAAAAGTTTCAGTCAAATTGTATTCGCTATACTGTATATCACGTAGTCTATACTGATCAACGATTTTATTTTCCTTAGCTCCTACAATGTGCCGCAATGTGACTGCCAAGTCCATGAAAGAAAATCTTTATAGGCACTTAGACTTTACATAATTACATTACACGATTTTCAAGGCCACTACACAAATTTGAAATGCTTTTTAAACATATTTTTCATTACCACATCAGTTTGAAGAAATTAAATACTAATTTTAATCATTTATAACTGAAATAGAACCACTACTGAACCGATTTAGACCATAGAATCTTCATCAGTAAATATAGAACTAATTCCTAGTTTTAACCAGTGAGGCGTAAGTCCTATTCAAGATATGAATGGGCTTCATCTGATTTCATTTACGTACTTTATTTCTCAATATTTTATAGCGTGATTTCCAATGCAAAGCGGGCATATTAAGCCGCCATTTTAGCTCCCATAAAATGGGGTCGAGATAAAAATTGCTTCTAATAATCCAGTTAGAACTCAAGAGCTTTTGATTTTATAGGTTTAAATTAACATTAGTGCTCGTCTTCAAAAGTTATTTCCTTTTTACACGTATAATTACTTGTATTTGTGTTGTTAGAGCAATAAAGAGCCTCGGGAATAGCTCTTGCTGCCGTTACTGGCACTAAAGCGACGATTATCAGCAGAGTGGTGCAAGTGACAAGAGTCCACTTAATCTTATTATTATCTAAAGCAGGGTTTCCCAAACTATGGGACGCGACCCAGTGGTGGGTCGCGGCGAGCGAACATTGAGTGGGCCCTGCCTGTAGAATGAAACACCACCACCCTACAGATCCAACCGCTGGGCAGCGGGCGAAATTTCCTATAGGTGGGTCCCAAGTTTGGGAACTTGTATTAGATGAGTCGTAGCCCAGATAACTTTGGGAACCACTAATCTTAAGATATAATTAAGCTAATTACTGGTAACAAAATGGACCCATAGCTCGTATTCTGAAACTGATGAAGAGTTGTCCAATTATGAAGATATTATCTAAAAATCGGTAATGATATGGACCCCATAAACTGAATCAATGCTTGACTTTGGTTTGGTCTTACTTTGACGTGATGTTTCCATACAAACAATTTGACTCTTTGTGAAACTTTTTACGCAAAATTGAGTAAGTCCTTCTCTAAAACCAGATGATGATGTGACTAGAAGAGTAGACACACGTAAGTACTTACTTACAATAGTAGCATACAACGGCCAAATTAAATATTCATTACCGCGTCAGCTTACGACTGTGACTGGAACCAAACCTGCGACCCGCAATGGATCTAGTAATGGGATCATTTGTCCCATCCACCAATAGCAGGGCAATGTGCCTGAATACAATTCGCCGAAACATTCAGAATTATCCAAAGGGCTAAACGTTTATTTTTTAATTAAATCTGTGTAATTGTGGAGATTAAAGCTGATGGTGATTGTTTGTTGTAAGCAAGCTCATTATGGGCTTTAGAAACGGGATTTAATAGATCTTACGTAAGTATCAAGATAGATCTAGATATTGAAACGACACATTTAGAATTTACAGCAGCATTTTATAAATCTTTCGTTCTCAACATCGCAGTATTTTATTTCAATTAAGAAGAATGGGCCACAGTAATAATTTTCACTTACAAATAATTGGCACAAAAAGCAAATTAAAAAGTTGTCTGATGGCTGTTATTTTTTGTGGAAACCTAAGGGCATGAGGCAACGTAATTAGCTATTAGAGATAATGACCGAGCTAATTAATAATTTTGTTCAGTTATAATGTTTGGAAAGAAATCTTATGTCGAATAATACGCATTGATTTGTTACTTAGATCAAATTAAAAGTGATAGAGTACATAGACAGTACGCTCTTTTAAAGACGACAGAAAATTAAGTTATAGTGGCAACTTATGAACCTAGTTATGACAAATATTGTCACAACAAAATGCATGGTTTGATTGGCTGTCACCACAGATCCACACATAGAAGTGAGCAAATTAATTACCTTAATCTTTTGAGAAAGTTACCGTTGACTATCAATGAAATCACAGTAATTTTAACGCAACAGACCTTATCATGGCTTCATTCAAGGACTGATTATTGCCAGATCTGTCGCCAAAAACCCTTAACGAAAATCACCCACCTGGCATCATCATGATTCCAGTCTAGCACATCAACCGCCATCTTCCTAAGCCTGATATCGGCCACGTGGAGGTCGTGCGCAGTCCGCCTTGCAGCCGCCAGCCGCCGCCATAGTGGCACGTCCCTCGCAGCCGCTGCAGCCGCTGCGGCCGCTGCGTTGATCTCCTCAAGCCTAGACTCCACGCAGCGCTGCGCCGCTCGAACGTCCTCGCGCTCGGTCGCACACGCAGCCGTGGCACGGTACAGCCGCGAGAGAAGGAGTGGATATTTTGTCACGCGTTGTACTGGCACCTGGTTTGAAAGATTTTAATGAAATTTAAAGCATAGCACAAGGCACTCATCGTCATCATGAGATCATTTATGCCCGTTTTCACCATCAATCCCTTATTTTTAAGTGACCCCTATGGTAACACATAACAGGAATTTTGTTTTCATTAGTCTCCTCCGCAGGCCTGACCCTAATTTACCAGAGGCAAAAGGGAGCGCATGGGTCCAAATGTGTATTACCATGACAGCTCTATTATGAAAACTACTTAGATATTTAAAAAAATCAACAGGTTTAAATACTTTCAGCGAATTGTCGCTATCAGCGAAATCTCTATTGAGATATTGACAATCTTCAAACAAAAGAAGCAAACAAAAATCCTGAAGATCTTACCATAAGAAATGAGTTCAAATTCATTCGCCTCAAGACTGCGTTTTCCATCTGAGACACGCGTAAGAATATCCTCAGGAGTTCTTTCTCCTTCTCAAGACCAGCCAGCAGCAATGCAGCACCAGCTTGCTTCACACAGTACGACTGGAACGCCGACAGCATACCCGAACACTCCAGAAGAATTTTGCCTACATTGACTGTCAACAGATCCTGTAAAGAAAAAACAAATAAGAGAAATTCCGTAAGTCCATATCCTTTAGCGGATTTTGAATTTTATGCCAAAAATAATAGTGTTTGAGATTGAATTTGAAGTTGATAAGTCTTTTATGAGATGATGATAACAAAAGCTAAATATACCTCATCTCCCTGGTCAACGGCGATCTCAAGAGCATCCCGTAACTTCTCGGATAATACTTGATTGTTGTCAATTAGCTCTTCAACGTTCAAGAAAATTGCACTCAATTGTTCTTGTGTCAGCAAGCCAGCCACCAACATGGGTTTGTAAAACTCTTCTAATATAATTTGCAAGTCTCTTCCATATTTCTCTTCAGTCTCAACAATTTCTGTGATTATTTCTTTTCTCTCTGCTCTTTTCTTGGCACATTTACGACATACTAACGGAGCGTATATTGATCCTGAAAAATAGTCTCACATTAGATAAAAATCATTTCAAAACTTACAATAAAATCAAACAATAGTGATTAACATACCCTGTTCTGTCACTTGAGTATCTACTGCGGTGTCACAGTCTTCACAAAGATGAATTGGCGTATCTTTATCACTTATTGTACCACAAGGTGAAGTTTTTCCTTGTAGTCTACTTCTTGAAGATTTACTAGTTTCAGATCCCACACCAGAATCATTTCTTTCAATTTCAGCAGAAGTTTTCTTACAAATTGCAGATTTTTCTAACATTTCATTATTGATTGTCAAAGAATTGTCTTCGCTAGAATCTGAAGCGTTTGATAGCTGACTAGTATTACTACTTAGGTGAGTGTCAATAATACCAGTGTTGCGTTTGTCCTTAGACTCGTTCAATAAGTTTGAAGAATCATTGCCATTTGAATAGCTGGTAATGTATGTTTCTTCGTCATCAATGCCTCTCTCTTTTGCATCAACTAGATAAGATAGAATATCATACTTTGATGCTCCCTCAAATATTGATCGTGAACCACTACGTTTCTCATCATCCATAAGTGACAACGAATTAGGAGGAGGATTTGCTGGTAGAGGTGGTGGCATATCTCCTATCTCCTCGTAAATGGGATCACTGTTAAGGCGGATTGATTCGTAATGATGATCATCATCTGTATTATTTCCTATTTCTATTTCACAAAGGGCAGCATCAACAAGCATTTGGTAGAACTTGGACCTTGTAGAATTTGTGTCATCCTCAGTAGATAGCTCACTTGCTGATGCATTGTAACAATCTGACATAGGATCGAGATCAGAAAATATTCCCATGGCCCCGCTTTCATACTCCATACTTTCATAGGGAGCCGAGCAGCCGCTTTCATCGTTTTCATTACTAACGGACGTATCGATTATTTGTCTTTCAGTGGATTCTTCATTTTCAGCTTTCATTTGATTCTTTGGTTTTTCGTCTTCACATTTACTATCAGTTTTTTCCATTTCCAATTTCATGTTTTTAAGGGAGCTTTCAATTAGTTTTTCAACTTTCATTTTACCACTGTCTGTCCACTCCTGATTCTTTGTTTCTTGAAGTTTTATTAAGGAGTTTTCTATCAATTTTTTTACTAAGTTCGAATCTAATCCTTCAGCTAAATGGCCAAAGAAAGGGTCATCAAATAGTTTTGTAACAAAATTTCCATCCTGTTGCTTGCTGTCTTCGTTGGAATGTTCATCCTTCTTTCCACAAACGTGTGGTATTAGATTTCTTTTTACCGCTTCTACAGGATCGCTTAAAATAGACGAGAGCTCATTGGCGTCTGATATATTTTTTTCGTTGTTCTTATCATTATAATATTCCTCATAAGTATTCCCGTCCTCTTTCTTTTCTTTTGCATCCGATAAGACAGCACCAATGTAAATCTGGCTCTTAGATTTCTTGACTTCTTTTTGTGGAGTTCCCACACTTATGGTCACAGTAGTGCCTGTCTGGTACGTATTGCAAGAATTACCAAAGTCATCATTTACTACAACTGATGATAAATAAATCGGTGTATCACTACTAACATTCATTGTAGAGTAGCATTCATTTCCATTTATTTGAATAGAAGTTTTTCGAGGTTCACTTTCAGTTGACTTAAACACATTTGTGCCTTTAGTATCATCAGCTTCATCGGAATCAAACTGTTTGACACGTAAAATAGTTTTTTGTTCGTAATCGTTTGCATCTGACCATTCATCACTAGCAGAACTTGACGAATTGTTCCTCACAAATCGTGTCTTGACGTATGTATGTTTCTTTGACTTTGAACGATCTTTAGCTTTCAATCTAGGAGGAGGTTCTGGTGATTCGGAGATGCCACGACGCAAATTCTTTAAGATATTTCGTGTTATATCACTGCTGTCACTCAAGTTACCGGGTTCAATGTCATGTTCATGACTAGTGGTCTTTATTTCATTTGATTTAGGTGATAAAGAGACATTGTCTTTTGGCTGTTGAACAGATGTCTCAATAATAGTTTCAATTACAGGTGATAAGAAAACTTGACTTGTATGCCCATGTTTGCTTTTAGGTCGTAAAGCCATGGTATCCAAAAACTTCGGAGGTGATATTGATACTGTTGACGTCAAACGCTCAGATTCCGACCGACGCAATATCGGTATTTTAGGAATCTCATTATCTGGAAAGAAAAGAATAAAATGAATAACGTTTGGTTTAAACAATAAGAATAATAATTTTTAATGTAAAATGTAAATAAATATAAGTAAAATTGATACAAACCTGCTACATTAGATACGGAAGTTACTTCAATACTATCATTTACTGCTGTCGGAACTATGTTCATCTGAGTGCTTTCTTCTATAATGTTCTCCAGCAACGAATTCGTTTGAACATCTTCATAGACGTCATTATCATTATGTGATTCTTGGTTTACAAGTTGAGACATCTCTTCATTAGGAGCTTGGATCAAACTGTGGCTAACCACGTCTCCTTCAGCCATGACATCTTCTTCAGTGTCAACATTTACTTCAGATGAAATTTCGGGAGTTGAGGTTTGTTCGAGATTAAACTCAGCCGTGTAAATAACTTTTGTTTCATCACTATCGACTTGAAACTGAACTCTTTTACGATGTAAAGTATTTTGGAATGCCTTGCCACCCTTTTCTCTGGGTTTTGGCAAATAAAACTGTGAAGCATTAAATCTTTTGCTTTCAAACGAATCGTCAGATGTTTCAGCTTTAGTAGATGATTCGTGCAAATCGTAGTTTCTAGGCTTCTTTAAAATTGATTTGATTGTGTCTGTGTTCTGGTTTTTGTATTTTGAGTTGCGAGAAGCATCAAAGGCATTCTTTCTATTGTAACTCCTCTCAGGTAATCGTTGATTATCGCTCTCACTGTCATCGTCAGTTTTTATATTCCTTACTCGTCTAGGTGGGCGTTTAGGCGAAACACTTTTTTGTTTTGTACGATTATTATAATTTGATATGTTTAATATTTTCTTACTGGTATTTTTGCTTAATGACGTAGACTTTTTGCTTTCATTTTTAATATTTGGTAATGAGACAGAAGGAGATAACTCCGAAGATTTAGAATCGCCTTTCTTGAGATCATAATTTACCGGATCATACACAGTCATTTCCTCAACTGTGCATGATTTAGATTCATCGGAAACTCGTATCCTTTGTCCACTAATTGCTTTGACATTTGAATCCGATTTTGACTTACTTAGTGATCTATTTTTTAGAGATTCTTGGAAAATATCCCCATAATCATCATCGAACTCAATTTCTACCATTGATTTTGCACTACCACTTGATTTTACTAAGTCGTAAGGATTAATATCGCAAGATAGTATTGACTTTTTAGATTCATTGGCAGTAGCCTCTTCGTCTACCCAGATTTCATTTACACGGCTTACAGACTTACTTCTGCTTTTCCGCAGTGTCTCTGGACTTGGTTTCTTAGTTTTGACTCTGCACGGACTTATGCTTTTTGCTCTTGATCTGGTTGTTGAAAATTGACTTCCGATGCGAGCTTCATGAGGAGGAGCTAATCTGCTCCTTCGCATCAAGTCATAAGGATCAGCTTCGCCATTATTTTTTAATATGGTGGGTCTGGATTTGGATCCTTGAACTCTAACTGTTCCAGCTCTAAGTAAACCAGCATCTCGACTTACTTGAGGTCCTCTGACGGTGCCTCCAACCAGTAATCGCGGGCTATCCGCTATCGTCAATGGCAATCGAGATCCTTTGCATTTCTTACAAATACTGACTTTGGTAGAGCTTGTCTTTTTAGTACCATTGAGGTACTCGGGACAGGAACAAAGAATTACAGCATAGTTGTGAGGCTGTGGTTTTTGAGGAGTGCTGATTAACACTGGGCCAGGTACTTCAGGATAGGTAGAGAAGACACTTGGCCTTATAGGTGGGGTCTGGGTCCTGACTGACCCGTAGAGCCATGTTTCAGCGTATTTCATTGATTTCGACAGCGCCGAACCTCCCGGCCCACTGATGGTTCCGTACATGTATGGACTCTCTGGAGACTTCTCCGAGGACTTGCTGCTCCCTGATGTATTCAATTTCAGCTTCGATGACCATTTCTTAGGCCGTGTGTTTTCCGTTGTGTCGTATATCTGAAACAGAGAGAAAATGATACTTAGTAAACTTTATTGTTGAAACTACAATAATGTTGTTTTCATGGACTAAAAGTGTATGGTAATAAATATCCCTTGCGGTTGCGCAAATTTTTCGCATTGAATGTTAATGATAATAAGGTACTTCACCCAAAGCTGTTATGTTAACTAATTAATTTTGAATCCCAAATTCTGCGGGAAAATTTTCATTAAATCGGGCGTGTATTTATTTATTGGTTTCATCTATGATAGAAACACGAGATTAAATCGTACGCTGTGGTTAGGGTTTAAACCGAGGCGAATCAATAAATTAAATTATGAGCCTATATAAATATAGCACGTAACGTAGGTAGAATTAACTGAGATGCATCAAAATTATTTAATGTTGCTTCCCTTATGAGTAATATACCTAGAGTAAAAATTAAATGACGACTTTGTAATATTTTCAAAGCTACAGGAATAACTCTCTTGAAATGGCGTTCGAGGCTCTTTAGAGTTTCAGTGCGGGTCTTTAAAGCATTTTAATTCTTATTTATCGTAGAATTTAATTAAAAGCAATCTTAAAATGCAAAAGCCACAAAAATGTCTGCAAAAAGTTTTTGCGACTATTTTCGCAGGCAACAACAAACTTTCCAGCACTAAATTCCTTTGAAATTAATTAAAAGGTGGTTCAAAGTTATCAGGTTTGAATTCAAAACAAAAGTCTTTGATGTATTCTGTACAGTTTTTGCTAAATAGGTAGTAAGGGCTCTTATGAACGCTTTTTAAAATTTAGAACTTCTATTAAAAACATAATTGTAACACAATGAGTAAAAACTTGGTCCTTTGAAAATATCATTTTCATTTAAAAATTGACAACTTTTTTGTAATGGAAAATATTTTGTATGTTTATCTGATCACAACTTTTACTGATAGATTCTTCTTGTTTATTTATTTATTTATTTAAACTTTTACAATTTATACCAAAATAAATTTGTACATAAGGCGAACTTAATGCACTAAAGCATTCTCGACTAGTTTACCTTTGGGTTGAGCAGAAAAGAAATTTGTTTGTTAACATGAACAAAAAAAAACATTCTGTTTCATATCGAGTTGTCAAGTAGGTAAATGAAATTATTTTCTAGTTACTGACCACATGCCGCGTCCACCCTGTTGATGTTCAAACAGATGCTACAGTGATAAGAAAAATAATAGTAAAAGCTTTCTTATTTTCTAGGAACATCCTTACTGGCATTCTTTAATTCTCTTAACGTAAACGTTTGAAATGGTTTGTCATCTAGTTTCCTTTTCTACAGAAAACGTACGAGCACTTTGGCAATGTGCAGTAAAGTCTCTTTAGATATTTTTTAAGAATTTCATATTTCCAAACCCAACCAAAATAAAAAACACGGATCATAGGCTGAGTTCAGTGTTGGCATTAATCAATTAATTTTTTAATCAATTAATTAATTTGATTAATTTTAATCATGATTAAATTAATCCTGATTAAAATAATCATGATTAAAAAAGTAATCATAATCATGATTAATTTGTTAATCATTAATCAATAATCATTAATTTGATTAACTTGATTAACTTCTTAAATGTTCTATCGAAAACAATGTTAAAACATTGAATTCTAATATTAGATGTTTGGTTTTAGGCTACAATTCTATGACAGGTCATACCTAGATAAATTTAAGGTAACCTAGACTGCCCTCCGCCCCCTTCCCTCGCTGAAACTTCCGGTGCAGTCTTCCGACCTCCCGTAGGAGGATATCAGTCCACTTCCCCTACCGTTCCAGCACTTACTTGCAACCCCACACTCCCACCACCTGCCCCCCACCCCTAGCCTCCCCTGAAACTTCTGGTACGAAGTCTCCTGCACCTCCCCAACACGCAAAACCTCCTAAATAGCAACCCCACCCTTCTATTGAATTGCCTACGCGTGGCCCTCCCTCCGAAACTTGTGGTACGAACTCTCCAGCACCTCCCCAACACGCAAAACCTCCTAGCTTAGCANCCCATATATCTTTACTACCTTGTATTTAGTTGAGACGATCAAGCAAAAGTTATAACGGAGCACGCAGTGTTACAATATAATATGGCTCTATTCAAAGATACACTTCCAATATCACCTGCATTCAATTTAACACGAAACATGCGAACACTGGCGCACATAAAAGGATCCCCAAGCATCTGAACACCGGATCACCGGATCCCCTGTCCGCAGGGCCGCCCGGTTCTAATTACCGGTTGGTGCGATGGCCGATGCATATCGGTACGCCTTTGATCCAGGTAGGTCCGAACAATAACTGACGTCTATTCCTTGGAGTACGGGTGACAGAGTGCGGCAGCATTTTAAATACAGGGTGTCTTTAAATGTCTAGATGACGTCGACATTTTTTTTATTTATGTGTATGTACAATTGCACAGTCAGCGTCAAGTATTTCGTGATTCCCAAAGTAGCCAAAAAGTTCGCAGCACGTCTTTGTTACAATAGGAATAAGATTGTGTTGTCATCTCTTTGGCCACTTTGGATGTCACTAACTATTTGACTGATTTGAAGCTAACTGTATCTACACAATAATTAAGGTAAGATCTTTCTAGGTAATTTGTAAATCCTAAAATTAAAAATCGTAAAAAATATAGGTTTAAAATTCTTTAATCGTTTATTTTCCTACATTGTTTCTGTAAAACCTTTCTTTCACATATTACATAAATAAACCTTTCCCTTGAAATATGTCAGATCCATTTCAACCAAGGATCGATGCCGTCTGGGCATCCGGATCGCAAACCGGATTGCCCGTTTCTAATTACCGGTCCTGGGGTCACGCTTTGTACCGGTTTCCGGGACAATGCCTCGATACCCACCTCTCCTTTGATCCGGGTATCGTTACATTGTCTGATATCTCGACAAATAATTGAGGGAACATTAGGTAAAACAAAATATAAGTGTGAATAACCTATTATTTCTTAGAATTTCTAGTCAAATAACTAAGTTACAAAGTTAATAAAGCTTCAATTTTCTAAAGAAAAAGCTTTTTGGAACTAACTTTTTCGGTAAACCTAAGGATGAGTAGCACCAACATATTTTAACCGTAACAATAACCGGTGCTTTTTGTATGGAGTTTGACAGATTTTTGACGTTTGTCAAAGTTAAAATAAGATGGTGCAACTTAGCTATAGTATAACAAATACACAGGGATTCCGTGGAGGGTAGTTGAACGGGAAGCATGGTCGATCTGTTTTAATGGTTTCAATTTATTATTTAATGGACTTTAGTGTACAAATTTGGTGTTATTTTGTGTTCTAAAGTGCAGTGAAGTGATAAATTATAAAAAACATTGAAATACTTCGAATTTGAGCGCGCATCGAGTGTCGAGTGGGTTGTCGTATGAACAACCCGCTTTGGACCCGGTGGCGTCTCGAAACCTGCTTACGGGCATACTTAACTCCACGGAATCCATGAAAAATCAATAGAACTGAAACACCCACGTTCTATTGATAACTTTGTCAATTATTTTTCACTCGACATTGGCAGAAATAAACCTCCCAGAGAGGTTTGGTTGCCATTAAAAAAAAAAAAAAAAAAAACAAATACACAGTTATTGGTCATTGCCAGTGTACGGAACTTTTGACGTACATTAAAACTTATTAAGCCGATTTTATCTCCACTTACGGAATCCTAAAAGCTAGTGGAAGTGTACAATTTGTTCTCGGTAGCGGAACCTCCAACAATGTACCTACGCTTCCTTGTTCTATTTAGTGTAGACGAGGGATGTTTTATTTGAAAACAAACTAGACTTCAAATGTAAGAAATAAAAGTTAGCTGATATTTATTGTTTGTGACATCAGAACATCTTTGACGTTGATAAACAGTTGGTATCTTATTGAATTTCATCCTTAATTTGATAGGTAAGGACTAAATGGTTTCATCATTAATACGACACTATTCAGTAGGAGGATTAATGGTATGAACCTCCCACTCGTTGGACGGACAATCTGGTCAATGTCACGGGAAGCACCAGAATATGGGCAGCGCAGGACCTATCGTTATGGATACCTTGGGGGACGCCTTTATCCAGCAGTGGACGCTAATAGGTTAAAACGAACGGACAAATGATATTATTATACTTAGGCTGATATTATTATGCCAGACCGGTGCTTTTTGTATGGAGTTTGACAGATTTTTGACGTTTGTCAAAGTTAAAGTAAGATGGTGCAACCCAGTCTTAGTCTGTCTAGGTACTGAAATATAGTTACCTACTATAATTTCCTAGCTCACCTGTCTCCAAAACTTAATTACCATTGAGAAATGTTGTTACTATACTCATTGAAGGTCAAAGTAAACCAATTAACATTACCTACCTCTTACATTTGTTAATAATGTCGTATGAAAGTATCTAAACTGCAACTTACTGTCTCAATGCTATAGAAAGGAAAACTAAGCCGTGACTGGTTTTAGCTAAAGATACAAAAATAGTACTAAGGCTAGTGTGCAATTCTGTGGTCAGCCTAACTAGGAAATCGTTGTGGCTAAACATATTTTGATATCGCAAGAGTCGTGACCTAACGCGAGATGTAATATAATTTCTGGATGATGATTAGTCTAATCTTGCACGAATAATATTTAAATACTAGCTGTGCCCGCGACTTCGTACGCGTGAAAACCCGTTTTCGCAACATTTTTCATTTTTGCTCTACACCTTTACTCGTAGCGTGATGGTTTATAGCCTATATCCTTCGTCAATAAATGGGCTATCTAACACTGAAAAAATTTTTCAAATCGGAGCGGTAGTTCCTGAGATTAGCACGTTCAAGTAAACAAACAAACTCTTCAGCTTTATAATATTAGTGTAGACAAGCGCTAGGAGTCTCAAATTTTGCTTGGGGGTTCCTTTTAGAACGTAGGTGCTCACTAAGGAACGGATTTTACGAAACTCCACCCCTAAGGGGGTACAACGCGATCCACGCGTATGAAGTCGCGGGCGGCCGCTAGTTGCTGCATCCTTTCTGGA